GAATTGTTTCTTTCTGGCTGCTTGACTTGGAAACTCTGAAATTTGACCATAATATTCCTGGGAGTTTTCATTTTGGGATCTCTTTCAGGAGGTGGTTGGTGGATTCTTTTCATTTCTATTTTACCTTTTGGCTCTAGGATATAAAGGCAGTTTTCCTTGACAATTTCTTGAAAGATGATGTCTAGGCTCTTTTTCTGATCATGGCTTTCAGGTAGTCCAATCATTTCTAAATGATCTCTCCTGGATCTATTTTCCAGGTCAGTTGTTTTTTCAATGAGATATTTCACATTGTCTTCTATTTTTTTTTTCATTCTTTTGGTTTTGTTTGATAATTTCTTGATTTCTCATAAAGTCATTAGCTTCCACTTGCTCCATTCTAATTTTTAAGGAATAATTTTCTTCAGTGAACTTTTGCATCTCCTTTTCGATTTAGCCAATTCTACTTTTTAAGGAGTTTTTTCTTCTTCTTCAGTGAATTTTAGTGTCTCTTTTTTTCCATTTGGTCAATTCTGCTTTTTAAGGCATGTTTCTCCTCATTGGCTTTGTGTACCTCTTTTACTATTTGGCCTAGTCTGTTTTTTTAAAGTGTTATTTTCTTCAGTATTTTTTGTGTCTCCTTTACCAAGCTGTTGACTCATTTTTCATTATTTTCCTGCATCACTCTTATTTGTCTTCCCAATTTTCCCTTTACCTCTCTTACTTGTTTTTCAAAATCTTTTTTGAGCTCCTCCATGGCCTGAGATGAATTCATATTTTTCTTGGAGGCTTTGGATGTAGGAGCTTTGACTTTGTTGTCTTCTTCCGAGTGTGTTTTGACTTTCTAACTCTCTGTTGTTGTTTCTTTTTAAACAATTTATTTATTAATTTTTAGTTTTCAACATTCACTTCCATAAGATTTTGAGTTTCAAATTTTCTCTCCCTTCCTCTCCTCCCTCCTCCCCAAGACAGTGTGCAATCTGATATAGGCTCTACTTATACATTCATGTTAAGCATATTTTCACACTCCATTACATTCACATGATGGAAAGAAGAATTAGAACCAATGTGAGGAACCATGAAAAGAAGAATCAAAACAAAACATCAAAAGAAAAGGAGAACAAATAGTCTGCTTCCATCTGCATTCAGACTCCATGGTTCTTTCTCTGGATGAGGATAGCATTTTCCATCACGAGTGCTTTGGAGTTGTCTTAGATCCTTGCATTGCTGTGAAGAGCTAGGTCTATCAAAGCCAGTCATCGCACAGAGTGGCAGTTATTGTGTACATAACTCTTTGTTAAAGCAGGGCCATGCTTTGAGGGTATCCCAAGCTTCAGGGCTTTTGTGCTGCTGTTTTCAGAGATGCTTGTAGGGACCTGGAAGTTTTCCATTCTTCCAAGGTGGTATGATCTAAGGAGAGTTATTTACTCCTCTCCTGGCCTGTGAGTGACCACAAGAACTCCCTTCTGCCCTAGTACCGTGAGGAGGGACCCCGGTCCCCTGTGGCCACAAGCTTTGCTGTGCCAGTGCTCCTCCTCGCCCTGGGACTGCCACCCAGGACTGCGACCTGGATCTGAGTATGGGCAAAGCAACAGAGGCCTGCCTCAGTGCTAGCAAAGAGACCCCTGTAATCTCCTTCTGACCAGTTGTTTGACCCCCTTGCCATCTGTGGGCTGAGAGCTCTGGAAGCAGCCACTGATGCTACTGATTCAGTCACTCTCAAGGTCTGCTCCTGGTTTGCTGGGGCCAGGTCTGTGCTGGACTGAGCTCCATTCTCACCCAAGTGCAACACACCTTTCCTGCTGACCTTCTAAGATGTCTTGGGCTAGAAAATTGTTTCACCCCATCCTTTTGTGGGTTCTGCCACTCTAGAATTTGTTTGAAGTCATTATTTAAAGATATTTGGAGGGGTTTGGGGGAGAGCTCAGGTGAGTCCCTGCCTTTATTCCACCATCTTGGCTCCAATCTGTCTCTCATTTTTAAATGTGTTTCTTGTAAACAACATATTGTTGGATTTTGGGTCTGGTTTACTTCTGACCACTGGTTCCCAAAACAGAACACCTTTCTAAGAGTCCCTCCCTTATCCTATCCCCTTGCCCTCCTTTTTCTCTGTTAAGTTAAAAAGACTTTTATACCCTTCTAGGTGTATATGTTATTCCTTCTTTAACCCAGGTGTTTTTTTTTTGTTTGTTTGTTTTTGTTTTTTGGCTAGGCAATGGGGTTAAGTGACTTGCCCAGGGTCACACAGCTAGTAAGTGTTATATGTCTGAGGCCAGAGTTGAACTCAGGTCCTCCTGAATCCAGGGCCAGTGCTCTATCCACAGTGCCACCTAGCTGCCCCCTCTTTAACCCAGCTCTGATAGGAATAAGGTTCTAACATTACCAGGCTAGCACTACCCCCCTCCTGCCTGTACAGTAGCAGTTCTTCCATTCACATCTTATTTGCATGAGTTAATTGCTCCATTTTACCTCTCCCTACCCTTTTTTTTTTAGGATCATCCCATCACACTCAAGTCAACCCCAAGCTTTCTATCTATGTATGCTCTTTCAAACTACTCAAGTAATAACATTCTTAAGAGTTACTGATAATATTTTCCCATATAAAAAGTAAATTTTGACCTTAATAAATCCTTATCATTAGTGTTTCATGTTTATCTTTTTATGTTTCTCCTGATTCTTGCGGGGTAAATTTTCCACTCAGTTCTGTTGTTTTCCTCAAGAATGTCTGAAAGCCTTTTCATTCATTATGGAAAAGTATCAGAGTGAGCATTGAACTGAGGGGAAAGAAAGGAGATGGTGGTCCTTAGGGAAAAGGTGGTGGAAGCAATGTTGGCTGAAAGTCCAAGGGTGGAACTATGATATTCCAAAGAGCAGAGGATCGGGTTTGCAGCCAAGGATAATCTACCCAGCAAAGCTGAGTGTACTCCTGCAAGGGAAAAATGGATATTTAAAGAATAAAATGACTGAATCAATGCTTTTCCTGCATTCCATCATCGAAGCCTCAGAGTTTCAGCTTCTGCCCAGCTCAGATTCCTTCTGAATTTCAGCTCTGTCTGTGTGGACAGCTGCCTGGTGGACCTCATCCCCTGGACATCCTCCTGGCACTTCAAGCTGAACCCATCCTGGACGGAATCAGCTCTCCCTGAATTCTGGAGCCTCCTAGAGCCACTGCCCTCCCACCCCTCGGACTTCTCTTTCCCTTCCCCTGGCAAGTCCAGGAACCAGGCCTTCGGACTCCACCCTGAACCTCTCTCAGGCCTTCCTTGCCTCTCACTGCCAGATCTTCCTTCGTGACCCCCCTGCCTGCACCCAGGCTCTCCCTCTCCTCTATCCCGAATCCAAAATTCTCTTCCAGCTCTGGTGGGCAGACCACCAGAGAAATGGTGGGAGTTGGGAGGAGCAACCAGGAGTCCCATGTCACTGGATAACAGCGCAGGTAGAATTAGGCAGCGTCACCCTGAGAGACAGGGGAGGAGGGGGAGAGGGGACAGAAAGCCCCTGACTGGTAGACAGCGTAGAGGGGAGAAGGGGCGTGAAGCACAGTTCCCAGTAGAGAAAGTGGCAGAGGGAAAGCCAGGGGAGGCCTGAGCAGGGTTGAGGCTTGGAAGAGGGAACCTGGATAGCGAGCTAATAGGGAGGGATAGGATTGTCTCTAGCAGCGAGGGCCCAGGTGAGACGACCGCATAAAGTGCTGTGGGTCCAGTGCCAGTTTCCTGACTTCCTCTAGCTTTGTTCAGCAACACGACCAGGAGCCGAGAGCTGACGGCGTAACCCAAGGCTAAGGTTTGCAAGCACGGCAACATCTTCCGCAGGCAAATGGGCGGCGAGCTGCTTCCCCAAGGGGTCAAGACGGGGAAGGGCAGGGAGCAGATGGCTCTCGGTCGCCCGCCTCTGCTTGGTGTTGGGGGGACGGGCCTCTGAAAGGGTATCCTGGACAGGAGTGGCCTCGGTGCTCAGGGTTACCCCTTGGTCCCTCCCCCAGCGCATTCAGCTTCAGGAATGGCCGAGCCCTCATCTTGCGGAGGAGAAGTGGGCATGTCGCCGAGAACGGCTTTCTCCTAACCTTCAATGCGTGCTCCTCCAGGGGAACGGGACACATAAAGGCCGGGCAGTACGGGCCAGGGAGGGAGGGAAGGGCTGGCCCCGTCAGCCGGAGGCCCTGTCCTCCTCCGGAGCGCTGACTCGTTCCAAAGCTGCAGTGCCACCGTGACCTCCAGACCCAGTCCGGACTGCACCTGGGTCGGAGGCGTCTGGGACGACACCTGGGTTGTGGGAGGGCCCCAGACTGATGCTAACTTGGGGGCCCTTCACCCACAGGGATCCAAGTGCTGGCGGTGGTTGTCTCCAAGGGCTTTTCCCGCACCCTCTCCCGACAGGCTCAGTGGTTTCTAGGCGAGCGGCCCCCAGATCTATAGATCCAGTGCGAGGTTCTCCCTTGAACCCCGATTCTACTGCTCGATGCCTGTTAGACATTCCCACCACAAGCATCCCGAAACCGCCTCTAAAAATGGAACCCATCTCCTCCTTCCCCCAGCCTCCAAACTTCCTCAGTTCTGCCGAGGACATCACCTTCTCCACTGACCCCTTATCTAGGTTCAAAACCTCATTCTCCACCACGCCCCAGTAAGCCTTTCCTAGTCCCTCCCCCTCCCCAGGGGGTTTCGTCTACTCCGCAACTTCCTCCCCATCTCCCCCGTTAGACCCATCTTTGTCCCCTTTGTGTGCCCAGTGATGGGCACAGTGGTGGTCCATGGGAAGCCGTCGGAGAGGGTTCCTGGAGAGCGCTGTGAGTACAGGTACTGGAGGAGCGAGGTGTCACAAGGCCCAGACCCCGAGCGGGGTGCGGGGTGGGGCGGGGAGAAAATAAGCCAGACACAGGTGGTGTTTTTTATATAGAATTTTTACAATATATTTCTCTTCATTTGTATATTATACCCACAACTTTTTTTTTACAGGCCGAACTCAACTAGTATCATCTCAATGCTTTCTTTTCAAGCAAATAAAAATCCAAAATAGGAAACCCGTAAGAAAAGAAATCTAAAACTGTGTTTAATGAAAATAAGTGCGTTTCATTAGCAGTATAATTTTTTTTTACATCATAAATGATTTGGAGCAAAGAATTCTCTTCATCTTCATTAGGCACATATTTCTAGCATACCTCTCAGCAACACCTGTGTCCCCCCTTTCCCCCACAGGCATCGCTGGACAGGGCCCAAAGAATTCCTCTGCATTCCTGTCCACATCGGGGACAATCCCAGAAGTCAGCTATAAGGCAGTGTGAACTGGACAGTTAACTCTGTCTCCTGAGGGGATCACAGTCCTTTAGTAGATAGGGGGTGAGGAAATGACTCACTTGGCAGGGGGTCTGCTCGGCTTTCCTATGACTGCCCAAAGCAACAAAAGAGCAACCAGAAGGGGACGGATCTCTTGACGAGTTCAGGGTTAATTGACAACTGACTTCCTGAAGTCACAAAGAAAACACGAAGGCTTCTGCCAAGGTCCGGAGGCAGATCCGAGCAGCACGTCTCCCTCCCTGAGCTCTGCACTATGCGAGCACCTCCGCTTCACCCTGGGACCCAAGCACCCACCGCGCTGGTGTCCCTGCCCTCCGTCGAGCCAGTGCCCGGCCACCGCGCTGGTGTCCCTGCCCTCCGTCGAGCCAGTGCCCGGCCAGACAGCCCACAAGCCCCAGCAGAAAGCCCTTCCTTCTCAAGCTCTTCAGAGCCCAGGTTAAGGCTCTGGGGTCACCGGCCTGGACAAGAGCCTCACCAAAGTCAAGTTTCGGACCGTGCAGAGCAGGGTGGGGGAAGGAAGACACACACAGACCCGCTGGCCTATTCCCTGGCTCTGATCCGGCCGTTCCTATCAATGTGCACAGAGATGCACGCACACCAGTGGCCAATGTCTCCCTCGGGGCTCAGTGAGAACATAACAAGCACGATTTCCTCGGACCCCCCTTCCTATTTCTTCAATAACCAACACCTGAAGGCTGGCATGAAAGCTGCCCGCTCGGACCAACCCAGTTACTGCTGCACTGCTGACTTCAGAGCTGTTCCAGTCACAGCCGGAGGTCAGTTTGCTCAATGTTTGCCCCTTAAGAAATCTGAAATCACCAGTAATGGAGAGGGGGAAAAACACAGACAATCCTTTATGCTTCAAAGAGTGATCCGCAGTCCCCGCAGACACCAGCCGATGTAAGGAGATCACTGAGAGAAGCCCGTGCACGAGTGGAAATAGTCCGGGGGGTGAGGGAAGGAAGCTCAGCCACCATGAGACACCAGGGCCCAAGGGCACCAGTGTCAGTCGGTTTGGTTCTTGGAAGGTCACTTGTCTGTCCACGATCACTCCGGGGCTGCCAGCACGGCTAAAGCTTGCCCGCGGCCGCTCCCCATGAGGAGTGCCCGCTCGGACAGACCTCTCCCCGGAGGAGGAAGGCCTTTCAGAAATGACCTTCCATGATGGCTCTCCTTGCTGGCCTATCCGGATAATGAAAGCACGGATCCATTGGGACTTAATATGCTCCCCTGCACGCCCGGGTCCAGGCACACGGTGAAGCAGGGGACACGCGTTCTGCCGAGGGGCCGGCAGCACGTTAGCCCTTCCAGACACTGGTTGATTTGTTCGGGTAGTCAATGGCGAGACTGATGGCGGCAATGTTTCTCAAAGCCTGTGGGGAGAAAGGCAGCGATCAGCAATCCTGGAGAAGGGCTTCCTGGACAGCGGCCATGTGCAGGGGCAAGGGGGAGGGGAGACTGAGGGGTGCTGCAGCACCGACCAGCACAAGGTCCTCATCCTGGCCTTGGAAGGACATCCCTCAAGTGCTTAAATGAAAGGGAAGGGGGAGGTTTTCTCCCCTGGAGGCAGATAATTAGATCCCAAAGTATCTAAAAGCCTGGTCCCGACCTACCTTTCCAGGCCTATTCTAGAGTAATAAGCTTTTCTTGCATTCCCCACCTCTCATTATTGCATCTCCTTGGCAGGTCTGCTCACCTCCCCCCCTCCCCCCCACCTTGTCGGCAGGCACATGATAAATGTCTGATCTACAGCAGACACTCTAAATTCAAGGTGAGCAGCTAAGCTTTAGCTGAGGGCAGGCTCACTGCCCCTCACATTCCCACAGTCTTTCTTTACATACATTATCTTGACTGGGCCTCCCAACAGCCCTGGGAAATAGGCATTATTGGGCTCTTGTTTCCATTTTACAGATGAGGAGACTGAGGTTCAAAGACACTAAATGAATATCCAGGGTTACCCACCACGAATCGATGTCAGAAGTAGGATTTGAACTCAGGCCCACATTCACCAACACCACTGCTCTTTCTACCATGCCACGCTGCCTATCCCGTGATAACAGATTGAGGCACACAGAGCTTTCTTTTTATTCTGAAGTTGTTGTTGTTCAGTCATATTGAACTCTTTGTGGTTTTGCTATTTCCTTCTCCACTATGTCCCCATTTTACAGATGAGGAACTGAGGCAAATAGGGCTAAGTGACTTGGCCAGGGTCACACAGCTAGGGAGATGTTTGAGGCCACATCTGAACTCAGTTCATCCTGACTCCAGGCTCGGTGCTCTCCCTACTGAGCCACCTAGTTTCCTCATTCTAAAATTAGTAATCATCAGAAATATTGCAGTAAAATTTTAAAAGTGATCATACAGAAGGCCACAAGCTCTATTATTCACAATTAGAGCCTCACACCAGAAAGAGCAGATCAATAAACTGGGCATGCAACTAAAAAACTAGGAAAAATTTTTTTATTAATCTCCAATTAAACACCAAATTGGAAATCCTAAAAAATCAAAGGAGAGATCAATAAAATTGAAAGAAAATTAGTGAACTAATAAATAAAACTAGGAACTGGTTTTATGAAAAACCAAATAAAATAGACAAACCACTGGCTAATTTGATTAAAAAAAGACAGAAGAAAATCAAATTACCGGTATCAAAAACTAAAAGGGTGAATTCACCACCACTGAAGAAGAAATTAAAGAAATTAGGAAATTATTTACTAGGAAATTAGAAATTATTACTATGTTGCCCAATTATATGCCAATAAACCTGACAATCTAAGTGAAATGGATAAATATTTGAAAAATATAAATTGACCCAATTAACAGAAGAGGAAATAGAATATTTAAAAAGCCTCATCTTAGAAAAAGAAATTGAACAAGCCATCAATGAACTGCCTAAGGAAAAATCTGCAGATCAGATGGAGTCACAAGTGAATTCTACCAAACATTTTAAGAATAGTTAATACCAATGCTATATAGATTAATCTGGAAAAATAGGTGAAGGAGGAGTGCTGCCAAACTCCTTTAATGACACAAATATGGTGCTGATGTCCAAACCAGGAAGAGCTAGAATAGAGAAAGAAAACTAGAGACCAATTTCCCTAATGAATACTGTTGTAAATATTTTAAATAAAATACTGGCAAGGAGATTACAGCAATATGTCACAAGGATCCTACAATGTGACAGGTGGGATTTATACCAGGAAGCAGGGCTGGTTCAGTATTAGGAAAACTATCAGCATAACTGACCATATCAATAAAAATAACAACAAAGATCATAATAATTATCTCTCTAGATGCAGAAAAAGCCTTTGACAAAATACAATATTCATTCCTATTAAGAACACTAGAAAGCACAGGAATAAACGGAGTTTTCCTTAAAATGATAACTAGTATCTATCTGAAACCATCCGCCAGCATTATCTGTAATGGGGACAAGCTAGAAGCCTTCCCAACACGATCAGGGGTGAAGTAAAGATGTCCATTACCACCACTACAATTCAATCTTGTACTGGAAATGTTAGCGACAGCAATAAGAGAAGAAAAAGAAACTGAAAGAATTATAATATGTAATGAGGAAACAAAACTGTCACTCCCTGCAGATGACGTTATGGTGCACGTAGAGAAACCTAGAGAATCAACTAAAAACTACCTGAAATAATTACAATAAACCCACGTAAATCATCAGCACTTCTATATATTACCAATAAAGTTCAAGCAGGAAGAGATAGAAAGAAATTCCATTTAAAATAACTGCAGACAACATAAAATACTTGGGAGTCTACCTGCCAAGACAAACCCAGGAACTATAGGAACACAATTACAAAATACTTTTCACACAAATAAAGTCAGATCTAAACAACTGGAAACATATTCATTGCTCATGAATAGGCCAAGCCAATGTAATAAAAATGACAATTCTATGTATAGGCAGAACCTACAGATTGCATGCTGTCTTGGAGATGGGGGAGGAGGAGGGGGAGAAAATTTACAACTCAAAATCTTACGGAAGTGAATGCTGAAAACTAAAAATAAATACATTAATTATTAAAAAAAAAAAAGAAAAAAAATGACAATTCTACCTAAATTTACTAATTCAGTGCCACACCAATCAAACTGCCAAAAAATTACTTTATAGACCTAGAAAAAATCATAAAAAAATTCATCTGGAAAAACAAAAAGTCAAGAATATCCAAAGAATTCATGAAAAAAAAACATGAAGGAAGGTGACCTAGCAATACCAGATCTCAAACTATATTATAAAGTAGGAATTATCAAAAAAAATAACCCAAAGGTCCGAGCTCTGGGGACAAGAAATCACCACCGGACAAAGGTTTCCGGGAAAACTGGAAAACAGTTTGGTGGAAACTAAGGTACAGAGCAGCACTATACACCAAAAGGTCCCGTTAGGTACAGGGTTTACCCTACGAGGTGGCACTGTAAGCACGTCAGGCCAGCGTGGAAGAGCTCACCTGCTACATCTAGGGATGAGAAGAAATTGAGGGCCAAACAAGAGATGAGGAGCATCACAGGAAGCATAATGGGTGATTCTGATTATGTGGAATTAAAAAAATTTGCACAAACAAAACCAATGCAACCCAAATTATAAGGAAAGCAGAAAACTGGGGAAAAGTTTTTTGCAACAAGTATCTCTGATAAAGGCCTCATTTCTAAAACACATGGAGAACTGTGTCAAATTTATAAGAATGTGAGTCATTCCCCAACTGATAAATGGTCAAAAGTAATGAACAGGCAGTTTTCAGAAGAAAAAAATCAAAGCTATCTATAGTCATATGAAAAAAGGCTCTAAATTACTCCTGATTAGAGAAATGCATATTAAAACAACTTTGAGGTATCACACTAATATGACAAGAAAGGAAAACGACAAGTATTGGAGGGCACGTGGGAAAACTGGCCTGAGTATGCGCCAGCCTACGCAAGGATCACCAATTGACTGGCCATTCCCTGAGTCTTTGGGCATGTGGATTGTTTTGAGTTCTCTGACATTCTGAATGAGGGTGCTGTGAACACATCGTTGGTGGAGTTGTGAACTGATCCAACCATTCTGGAGAGCAATTTAGAATTATGACCAAAGGGCTAGAAAATTGCGCATACCCTTTGATACAGCAATACAAGCAGTAATCTGTATCCTAAAGACAGTGAAGAAAAGGGAAAAGAAACAATCTGTACAAAAATAGTTATAGCAGCTCTCTTGGTGGTGACAAAATTGAGAGGATGCCCATCAACTGGGGAATGGCTGAACAAGCTGTGATATATGATTATGATGGAACTGTGCTATTAGAAATGACAAACAAGGATGGTTTCAGAAAAACCCGGGAAGACTTGCACGGTCTGATGCAGAGTGAAGGGAGCAGAACCAGAAGAACGTGGTCCACAGTGACAGCCACACTGCATGACAACCAGCTGCGAAGGACTCAGCTCTTCTCAGCGTACAACGACCCAAGACCACCCCAAAGGACCCCTGAGGAAAACGGCTCTCCACCTCCAGACGAAGACCTGACGGAGTATCAACGCAGGCTGAAACAGGCTATTTTTCCCTTTCTTATTTTCCGTGTTTTCTTTTGTGACCTGGCTAACGTGGAGATGTCGTGCACGACGGCCCACGTATGACAAGCTGTATCACACCGCTTGCCTTCTCAATGACAGGGCAGAGGAGGAGAGAATTTGGAGCTCAAAATGTTTTTAAAAGAATGTTAAAAATTGTTTTATATAAATTGGAAAAAAAAATTAAAAAAAACCTCCCCCCCACTTCTCTCTCCACTACCCGCCTCTCCTGCAGATTTCTCGCAAGCTAAACTGTCCGTATTTTTTACTTAAATCAGTGCTGACTGCTTCATTCACGGGGCGCTGCCTTGTCTCAGCACCCTCAGACTCGTGCTCGACATCCCTCGCCACCTCTTGCGGCCCGAGCACGCTCCATTCTATGCACGCAAGCCTCTCCAGGGCTCATGTTTCTGATCTTCTGAACGAGGGAATGAGTGAATCATTCCAGGCAAGCAGGGCCTCTTCCTCTGTGGACTCGGGAGGAGAGGCACAGGGATCCTCTCCCCCTCCTCCCCCCTGCTCTCAGGCCTCCATGGCCCTACCAGTGCCCCACGCGCCCTCATTTGGGCGATTCCTGCCAATCTGCTGCTTTGACAGAGCGTTACCCGTACGTTCCGATTACCAGAGCGGACGGACGTCTGCCCACACGTGTGCTTACTGATAAACTACGGCTGTTCTTCTAGATCGGCTGAGCTCACAGCTTTGGACCATGAACATGCGAAGAAATCTGGGGGGCCACGCTGACACTGCCGGGCTGAGCTCCTTTCTGACTATTGACGTCGTGTTCTTGTGGAAAATGTGGAAGGCTGAGTTTTCCAAAAGCCCTTTCTTTCTCTTCTAGCTGGGCTACTCGTGTCCCAACGCTCTCATTTCTTAAGTCTGGTGATTCCTGCTCAAGATCCAGAGGCACTGTCTTTCCTACCTCTTTTTGTGATTAGTGGATTGATCGTGGCCTTTGCGGCACCAGATGGCGTGGCCCTTTCTGCCACACCGTCCGGTTCTCTGAACCCAATCTCGGCAAACTTTTTTTTTTTTAAGTGAGGCAATTGGGGTGAAGTTAGTAAGTGTCATGTGTCGGAGGCCAGATTTGAACTCAGGTCTTCCTGACTCCAAGGTCGGAGCTCTATCCACTGAGCCACCCAGCTGCCCCCAAACCCTCTTGAGGAGCGAGTGGCCCAAAGCAGAGCCCAGCTGGCTGGCCCTGCAAAATCATCCCTTCTGTGCGTGGCGGCTCACTCGCCACCCCCGGCCGGCCGGCCTTGTTAAAACTGGGACTTTTACTTTCTCCCATTTTCCCTGCCACTGATGGGCTCGGCGGCCCGGCTCCTGCGCCTTCCAGACCATTCTGTCTGGGGGGCCAAAGGCTGGCCTCAAGGACGCCTGGACCTGGGGCAGGTCTTTCTGGCCTTCTCCCAGGCTGAGCCCCTTCTGCTGTGCCTCGAGAGGAGGTTCCAGCAGGCACTGGCTGCTCTGAGCAGGCGCCACCCAGACGCAGGCTGCTGTGGGAGCTCCCGCCCTCCGCCAGCACTCTTCCTGGACCCCTCCCCCTGTTCCGCAGACCTCACCTGGGCTGTGCAGCACAGAAGGTAGTCATCTGTCGTTACGGCGAGCACATAGTCTTGCGAGCAGCCTAGCTCCTGCGGACAGAAAGCGTGCCCAGTGAGGCAGAGGGTGGAGCAGCCCAGCAGCACGGTGGTTAGGGACGGGCAAGGGGGTCTGGACTGCACCCTCCCTCCGTCACCTGGAGGGGAGGTCCTCGCTGCTAAGGTCCCCTCCATTCTGGAAACGGAAGCCACCCAGGTGCCTGTGGGCAGCTTCCTGATCCCAAGGAAGCTCTTCTCGCAGGCCAGACCCTCAGAGGGCTCAGGGGAGGGAACGGTCATGGACGCCTTACCTGGACTCTGTTCTCAGTAACAAAGAAGAGTTCGGTGAGGGCTCGGTGCAGGGGCAGCAGGATGCTGGGCTGACTCACGTCCTGGCACAGGCCCTTTTCCATTTGGGCAAAAAGCTGCCAGAGGGGCTTGAGAAGGGTGAGGTCACGGAGGTCACTAGAAGGGAAGGAACAAAGGAGACTGGGGTTCCTGGACCCGGCAGCTCACAACGCCATGCCGAGGCGACCCAGAAGAGCTCGACGGAGCCGGCGGGGTGGGGGGCTGTTGAGCCGCGCCTTGTCTCCAAAGGGCGGGAAGGCGGGAGGAAGGGGATAGATGCTCCCGTGGGCACGCCTCAGCAGGGCGCTACGGAGGCCCGCCTGCTCTGCCCCTCCCGCCTCACTGGTCGTGGGGCCCCCCGCTCACGGGGAGCTGGCTGAGGACCGCTCATTTCTGAAGGGCGACTCAGACTGCTCTCGCTCCGTTCGTGACTTGTCCAGGACTTCCCTGGACCATGTGTCCCTACTGAGGGCTGTGGGAAGGCTCAGGAACCTCCCTGACACGTGGGTGGTGGCTGGGCGTGGGGGGAGGCCACGGCCGACCAGTGTGGCAGCTCTAAGCCCTGCAAGCAGGGGCCCCACGGGTGCCTCTGCCTGTCAAGACGGAGACGAGCAGGCTGGTGCTCGCAGCCTCGATGAGACTGGGAGGCCCTGTCTTAAGACAAGCCCAGCACCTGGGCAGCGGCCTGGCTGCCCGCACCTGGTGCGAGCTGCAGCCTGTGGCCCTGCCACGCCAGCGGCTAGGGTGTGTCAGAACCAGGCCCAGCACAAACTCCCTCGTGAGCTGCCACCACTTTCTGGAGGGTTAAAATAGAAATCTTTCGCGTCAAGAAATGCCTGCCTGCCCTGCTGGCAGAGGGCTGCCCGGCCAGTGTCCGACAGGCTTGGCCTGCGAGGCCCCTCTTACCCAGCCACCCCCACGGGAGGCCCTCTAGCTCGCCCACAGCAGAGGCCGCACCTGGGTCTGGGCGGGAGGAAGACAGAAGAAGAGGAGGAAACACCCCCTTTTCTACATCGCTGAGCGTCAGCTCTCGAGCCTGGAGGGTGTCTGCAGACCCGTCTCCCACTCCCTCCCTTTTTTGGAAGAAGGCAGCAGCCTCTGGCAGGTGCACGCCATCCCCGGCCTGAGCCCAGCATCTCTATTTTAAGCCGTGGTCCGTTCTCAGACATCTCTTCTTAACCATCTGCCGCTCCTTCCCAGATTCTGCATTCCTGGCTGCCGGTCAGCGCCACCGAGAAAACCACCATCTGGGCACACTTTCCCCAAAGAATCTCAGGGTGCAGCCTCCATGAAGGAAGCGCTGGCACCCCCCCCCCCCCCCCGCCCCCCCCCCCCCCCCCCTCCCGGCCCCCCCCCCCCCCCAGAAGGCACCTGTCATGGCCCTCCCTCCCCCACTCTGGTCTCGGCTCAACAGAAGCAATTCCCAAGGTGGGGGTAGCTGCTGTTCTGTCGTTTTCAGTCGTGTCTGACTCTTCCTGACCCCACTGGGGGCTTTCTTGGCAAAGATACTGGGGGGGTTTGCCATTTCCTTCTCCAGCTCATTTTACAGGTGAGGAAACTGAGGTCAACAGGGTGGTCACACAGCTACTGAGGGTCTGAGACTGGATGTGACCTCAGGCGTCTTATCCACGGCCCCACAGCGCTTCCCCGATTCCCAAGGACCCGAGGCAGACCACCAGAAGTGGGTCTCCCAAGCAGCCCATGGCCCAGAGAAGAGTGGACACCCCTCTGCCCCCTCCCCGCTGAAGCAACATCATGGGGTTTAGTCCGCGGCCCTTGCAAGCCTCGTGTCTGAATCAGACAGACAAGCCCCCCAGCAAACCCACCAGAGGACCAGGCTGCATGCACACATTCGAGAGGCCCCAGAGAATCCACCTGCTGAAGGGGGCGGGGGCAATTCTCATGAAACAGCTGCAGAAGCCTATTAGGTGAACGGTCCCTCTGTAGCCAAGGACACCGAGGCACAGGGAGAAGAGGCCTCCCTGCCGAGGGGGCTCCCGGTGGGCTGGCGCCTCCTGTCCCTCTACAATCAAGCCCCTGAGCCTGGATCAGACTTCCAAGGCACCAGGTGCGAAACATCTCCCAGAGGAGGGGCTCAGGCGGTGTGGCCAGGAACACCGTGTAAAGAGGGAGAACCCCGGCCCCAGCACCTACCTGGGGGCGCCGCATTGCACCATCTTCAGAAGTAAGTGGATCGCTTTGAGGCGCTGGTGACCCGTCTGGCGGCAGGCCACGCCCACCTGCCATGCCCAGATTTTTGCCAGGGGCAGGTGGGGCATAAGCTTCTCCTCTGACAACAACTTCTTCAAAATCTCAAATCCTGGCGAGAACAAGAATACACAAAAACAGCCCTTCGTCATCAAAGGAGATGAGCTCTGTCCAGTGACCCCACCATGAAATTCTGGAACCCTCAAGAAGCCTGAAGAGAACGCGCCCAGAAGCAATGAGGCTCTTTGGGGGGCTGCGATCAGGCCCAGAAGGAGCCACCTGCTTTTGGACAGACAAATGACCGAAATGACACAGCTGATCATCCACTGACGTAACTGAAACGGCCCCCCGTGGCCAGCAAGAGCTCACCATGCTGCCTAGGGCAGGCAACTGAGGCCTGGCCTCCTTTCACAGGGCCTCAGGCTTGCACTCTGCACCTTCCCATTGGCTTCCCGGGCCCCATCCCCAGCCCTCTAAGCTGTGGACACCAGGAGGGTGGCCAAGAGCCAGAAGCCCCAGTCCCTTCACCTGCCCTGGCTTTCCCAGGACGTCGGGGCCACGCTGCTGCACCCTGCGTGCCTGATGGGCCTTGGTGCCATGCTGGATGGCGGGCAGGGTGAGAGTTAGTGAGGAGACCAGGATGGCTCCCCAGTCGAGCGTCTGAGGGTCTGGGAGGAGGGCGCTGCCCTCTATAGTAATAGGGAAGGTGAGGTGGGGGGGGAGGGTTTAGGGGGAAAGGTAATGAGTCTTGTTTTGGACACAAATTTCATATGGCTACAGGACGTCCTGTCTGAGATGTGTGAAAGGTGGTCAGAGGTGTGAGACTGGAGCACGGCAGGGAGGCTGGGGCAGATTTGAGAATCCTCAGCACAGAGATGATCACCAAGTGAAGGTGTCTAGAAGGAGAAGAGCAGAGGGCCCAGGACAGAGCCTGAAGGACACCCATGGTTGCGGCGGGGGGGGGGGGG